ATGTGCTCACCATTTTGCTTCACGACCTTTTTGCAATCGAACCTTTACATCTGTCACAACCTTCCGAAATTAGACGGCACAACTGCATGATGACAGTCTTGAGTTGAGGTACACTTGCAAGCTTCCTTTTGAAGCCATTATCTTTCAAGTAGCCCCACAAGAAGGAATTCACATGGATGTCATGCCTATGCGGGGGCTACTCTCTCTAACCTTGGTGACGCTCAGGAAACCGATGTGACATTACCCGCCCATCAAACATGTCATACAGGTAATCAGGAACAACATTTGCAGTGTGTGGGCGGACTCCGTCATGCATGAATCATTGAGTTTGTAATGGGAGACCTGTTGTCTAGAGTTTTGGAATAAATCTGTTTTCCTACATATCCTTATCTATCTTTGTCTACCGTCTCATCAAAGAAAAAAGGGGTCCGATGAGTGTATGGGATGAAATTGCGGCCCATACACTGACGTTTTCTCCATAATTCTCTTTTCATGCGGAATGTGGGGATGTTCACTTGCCTAGAAACGAACATTTTGCTTATTCACTACACCATTCAAATGAAAATACGCCTCGTCAGTAAACCACATGTTGTACAGAACGTGATCCTCTTGCACTAACCATGAAGCGAACTGATGTCTTCGTTGCTTGTCCTCTGCTGTTAATTTATGGACAAATGTTATCTTGTAAGGGAACATTTGAAGATCAGAATGCAGAATCCTTTGTATGGACCGACGAGATATTCCTAACTCAGCAGCCGTCCTCCTTGTTGATTTGCTAGGACTTCGTGTCAAAGCAACGCGAACTGCTTCCATGTTTTCAGGGGTGCGGACACTCGGTCTGCGCCGTCGATTCTTCTCCACCACAGAGCCAGTTGTTTCAAATTGACGATGCAATCTCTGAATAGTCTGTTTACATGGAGCCCATTTTGTACGAAAATGTGCACGAAAACGTCTGTGTCACTACAAAACCCCTCGTTTCTGCATAAAAAACCTTACAGCTTTCATCTTCTGTTCTACACTCAATCTGCGCCATCTTGAGCATTGTATTTGGCGCCAGAAAAATATTCCATACAAACTTGTCGTGATATCTACCGGATTTTCCCTTAACCAAAGTATACGAATACGAGTTATCAACCTTACAGCTATATTATTACTTGTATGATGAATAAAACAAATGGTATGACATTTCATGCGCCACCCTGTATCTAGACGCTCTGCTTGCTATGTGAGGCGGATATTTCGGTGTTTTTCCTCTCCATACCACTTTTGTATGTGTATTTCTATTCGGTTTCCCCATATTGACTGTATGTGATTGCACCACTGAGCTGTCGCGAACTAGGCTGGACCCTAACGTGTTGTGAAGGCTTACACACTACTTCAACCCATTGAGCCACTCTGGATAGTGTCCTCGTAAGTCTTGAGAGATTTCCCCTTCATTTTGGTCAGTGGTTATCCGTCAGTCGAACGCACTCTTCTTATCCTCCAGGTTTGGTGTCGAAACTCACGTGACACCCCTTTCTCTAACTCTGGACTATTACTCTGTCCCTACTGTCCTTGATTATTGATTGGGGAGCAATCTGAGTCCACGGTTAGGTAGGTATACTAAACGTCTGGATACAGAGCTTTTGCTCGATTTCTTTAAGGACCTCGAGCTCCGCAACTTCTGAGTACGAAGTGCTGTTCTCGTTCCCAACAGCTGCTTGCTTATCCGTAATCGTTTATACCCGGAAATAGTTGATCAATTAAATTACCCTGCTAGCTGCATTAGCAGCGACGTACGTAAATCTTCCAGTTAGTCCACGTACTGCGAAACTTACGACTCAATTCTTGAATCGGCGGTACCAAGAGATAATCTTTCTTAATATGAAAGACTGTGTCTGCAGAGCGCAATGCCGACTATTTCCCTTCATTCGGTTTGAGGATTTGATGAGTCTTCAAGTCGTTGACCATCCCTCTCCGACAGGTATGCTTGGTGTCAGATTGGCACTAGTGTGTCCGCGATGATTATTTGTAGATACTGGGTGGTACTAATCACTTCAGTTCCGTTGAGCAACAATTAGCGTTGAGTATGTTGCCTTGGCTTGAGCACGAGCTCCTCAACCCTATCACCGCCTGTTGAGGAGTGCTTTTTTGTTTATCTGATGTAGAGTGAGGCGCAAGGCTAGAGAGAGTTGAGTTAGTGGTCGACTTGGGTGCAGGAAATAAGGCCTTTGGAGTCTAAATGAGGGGCTGTTAAACTGTCTCGCTTCCCAGCTTGTAGTTTACGCAACCTAACCGACCCGAGATTTTGTAGGGCATGGTTCGTTGCCGTCACCAGTGACACATTTGCTGTCACCTTCCACTCGGGGAGTACTTGTTTAATGTGTGTCTGATACCGAGTTGTCCGTGGAATGAGACCGATTTTGACATCCATCGGACGTCGGAAGCCACAAAGAATCTATCTTGAGGATGCCACCTTGTTTTCATACGACAATCAGCTGTATGTGATGGTGCTTTGACAAGATACAAACACGTTAGTCCTGAGTGTTTGTATACGTTATCTAAGATGTTGCATTATGCTCCTCCAGTTTCCGAGGCACTTAAGGATTGTACAACGGCCTGGCATCACTGTACCCCCACTGTTATTTTCTCTATGTAATTGTACAGGTTTGATGATGAATCACTGAAAACAATTGTTCACCTCTGGCCCCATGTTCTTGATTCCTTGTTCATATACTGTCACCGTTGAGTGTGACTGTTTAGAGTACCTCACAAGGTGTCCGAAAGCATCATGCAGCATGGCTCGATGAGCCAAAGAGCTGCGCAACGCGTCGCACCATGTGTCACAAAAATCGGTCCTTCGGGAATCATTGGTTTATTTTGCGCAGACCGATCTGCAGAAAAGATACATCTTGGACGAACTGATCGCTTTAACATGTGTTTTTCAGTCGCTTTCACGAACCGTGACGTTTTGGGCCGATGTATTTCTTTCTTTGATGCAGGTAAACCATTGGCTCTCAACCTGAAGATTATTACCTCCGAGGGGGTAAAATTTACTTTTTACGGGGATAATTATAACACAATTTACAACAAAATCATCTATATCCAAACAATTAAACTACTTAATCGCTATTGATTAGCCATCAGTGACTAATCATTAGTGGGTGGTCGATGAATTAGATAATTTTCGGGAATAAATTTTATTACCTAAAATACGAATCCACAAAGCAGCACAGCTAAATGATGCCCCTCTCGGCTCCCTCGTCGATCGTTGTTCAATTGAGTCAGGCAGTCCGTTCGCCGGGTCCAGTTACAGCTTCGATCAAGCGACCAAGTAAAGAAGCGAGCGGATGTTGACAAGGTGGAAGGGACAAAACAGACTATTCGTGTTCAGGACGTATCGATACAGAGTGGTGATTTGAAGCTATCATCCAGGAGAGGCTTGGAAGGGATCTTTGAAACATATCAGAAGCCACTGACATCTATGCATGTTTGCTAGAGGGATCACATGCCAAAGCAAGGAACCGAATTAGCTTGGAGTACGACCTACCATGTGCGTTAGCCGAAATCGCACCAAATATAGCAATATCAACCGTCACATTAACGTACATCACCTTTTCAGTTAATAAAAGTTGCTCAAAATAGGCATTTTCTTTATTTGGATGAAAAAGGCACTTTAGATAGTATCCATTTTCTTTAATTTAAAGCAAAACGCAATGGTTAATTAGCTTTTTAAGCATTTATGGGATAATTATGGACTCGCTTTGTGAGTGACAACCTCCTAAAGGTTGAGAAACACTGAGCTAAACGAAAAGGCGGTGCTACCCGTAACACACGCAAATGTCGACAACTCGGTGTACCCACTAGACCGTCGACTATACTTCCTGAGTCCACTGACGGTATCCGTCAACTTCACCTGCAGTCGGCTGTTTGGCTCGCCGCCCCCCCCCACCCTGAATCCATCTGTTCAATCCTATTGGATAGTCCCATCATTCCATGCTGTAATCCGGTCTCACTACTACTCGACTATTAAACTTGCCCAGCGCTATATTTATGTTGGTCAACAGGAAGCGTTCAGATTAGTGTCAAAATTGTCTTCGCAAGAAGGAAGACAGGGTAGGCATCGGCAGTAGGGCAGAACTTCGTACCGATGTTTGGCTTTTACGCGACCACCGCTACTCTCGCGCTGACTACGGATACTGCGCAGTTGTCCGCACTTCGAGCCCGTGACTTCAGGCCACAAAGCAGATGCTCGGACACCAGCCGAAGCGAATGGTGATAAGGAACGCGGCCCTCGATACGGTATCAGCGCTTCTGCCTTACATCTGAGACACGCAATCGTGACGTCCACTTAGAGGCTTACGTGAATGGTATCTCCTCTTACTTTCCAAGGGAGCTGCCAGATCTCAGTATCACGTGGCAAGGTGAACACAATTCACTGTTCTAGACGCAAGACGGTATCCACGACTCGATACGCACACGCGCATTGTTCGCTGTCATGCTCATAACACCGCTTCTTATGTCAACTCGCGTGAATCCCAGAGGCCTAACTTTCTTTCAACGATTACTTTTCTATTTGTGGAGATAAACGTTCTTCACTTCAAGCTGAATGATCACCCCAACTAAGCATGCCCAGTGCAACCTAATTGCATATTATATTCTGTTATATATGGCTTCTATGTCGTATTCGGAATATTTGCCCGCTGAACCAGCGTGATTGTACAGCTACTGTCCATTTGGTATCTCTCTCTACTTACCGGTTGCTTCATTCTTCACTGCCTCTAATCCAGTTGAAGAAGTATTGACGATTATAACTACTACACACCAGTTTCTCTGTTATGAATCCGATGTATGGTTGTTCAGACGCTTGGCTTACAACTACACCACAAGTTCGAGTCCGCTTGTGGTATTCCAACCTGCGTACAACCTTTTAATGTATACATTTGTTCCGTTTCGAAGTGTAGCCGTTGCTTCGGTCCCCTCTCATTCCACTTTACCCCCGTCTTTTCTGCATCACACAGACCACCCTTAGAATTATGGACTGCCTGTTCTACGAAGGTGAGAAGATTTTGTTTCGCGCCGGGATCACTCTCATCCGATTACATCGGACACAGTTGTTAGAATGCGAGGACTTCCCCGTTCTACTCACCGCTTTTCGGAACATGTGTCGAGACAGTCAGACTCTTCAGTGTCATGAATTCCTCCGGGTTAGTCGGTGCACAACGTCGTGTGTGCGTTACCGGTGCCTCACTTTGCCACTCTTTCACTGAGACTACTGATTCTTGTGTACATCGTTTGTGTCCTTCTTACCTTGCCTGAATGTCGGTGTGTTACCATTGAACCTAGCACGGGAAACAGTGTCCGATTATTTTTATACGTGAAACGGATATCATCTTCACGATGCGCTCGTTATCTGCTAGTGCAAACTCAACTATCGGTGCTTACTGATAGCGTCAAGTGTGCACTTTTATGTATTCATGGAATATGCTTTGAACCGACTGAGAGTTCATTATTTCGGAAGGTTTAGAACACAAATGGATTTTTTAGGTTTTTATTGCAATCACGTTTCATTGCACTTTAGAATAAAGGCTAAGCCAATTGCGTGCTGATTCACTTAGCCTGAAGAAGTTCTTGCGTGGTCACAGTAAAAATCCGCTTTGTATTATAAACGTTCCGAAATCATTCCTTCGTCTTTGTTCGTATTACTCAAGTTTTTACTTGGTGGTTTCCACTAGTTATACTCCTTGTACCAGCATTGTCATCAGAGCTTACCGCGTGAATCACAGACCTTCGTGGATTTTCAAAACCTCCGATAGTTGTGGGAATGGTGGGATATCAGTCTGACAGTTCGCTCTGGTTCAGCTCCGTTATGCTTTTATAGTGCGACCACTGAAGTGCGGTTGCTCAGGTTACCTAATCTCATCATTCTAATTGTGACGCTAATGATACTAGTGATGAGGAATCGGGGTGAAACACAAAATCGAATGTTGTCTGTAAGAGAATCAGTAAACTTATTCCGGTTGAAATGTTAACAGGTAGATTCAAGAGATCAAACTCAGCAGCTACGTCGACTCCGATGCTCAGATGCTCAACCGTTTATGGCGGTGATGGGATATCAGCCTGTTCGTCAACGTTAGGATGTAAAGCAATCCGGTTGGGCTGGTATCAGTGTTTGGATACATGATGACCTTTATGGCCCGACCATCTTTGATCGTCTGTGATTACGTAGTATTGCTCACATCTGGTGGGAGGACCAACTATATGAGCTATACTGAAGCCCACTTGTTAGTATTTGGAGGGAAACCCTCTAGTGCCACACCACACTGTTTACTAGACTGAATCTGCTTACGTTGAATAGGTAATGACCTCCGTATGCCCGTTGACTGACTGCCTTGGCGTGCATTGTACACCGTCGCTGCGCCGAGTTGTGCGAAATCGCGGGTTGGTTGGTCGATAACGTGGCTTAAAGGCATAAAGAGATCGGCCGTAGGACTTCATTAGGTTAGTGCATACCGTCTTCGTGGATGGTAGCCTCGGCGCACCCACTGGTCATACGCCGGCTTATGTATAGACCATAACCATCTTTCGCGGACTACTACATGTTCCTTGCATGTATACCTAAGTCATGGAGAGACTATGTACTCATCTAAATCCATCTTTAAACATCTTGAGCATGGTGAAGTTATGAAGTCGTTTGTACCCCCCTTCTCGCTTCATAGCCTCTGGTTTTGCCTTTCCATGCGTCCGATGATTTTTTCTAAGGCGCTTTTGAAATAATACTTTATTTATTGCCATTTATCCCTTCTCATTTTGACGCATAGAATTAAGGCCACTGGGTCCGTCGCGTTTTGGTGCACGAAACCTATCTGTCCAAATCAATCCAATTGATCTTGTCCTCTTTCCGGTAGACCAGCTCATAGCTGGAAGCAGAACTACGCCTGTGTTTTCGCATCCCCTGTCAAGTGTCTTTTCACTGGGTCGATCTAAATTTCCTCTTTTATTCAGGTCACTCATTTTGACCGACTCACTGGCTGGATTTTTTTTCTGATCCTGTTGGGCATATATGAATATTCTCTGCCTTTACCTGCTTTCATCGATTGCCTTCCGTCCGATAACCTATCGATCACAGCCTAAGTGCGTTTAATCCGGTGTCCTTAAGTTAGACTGAAGGGCTTCTTGTGAAACTCATCGAGTCTCTAGTGTCATCATCATTGCCTCCAAACCACTCACGTGCTTCACATTTGGGTGCTCACTCGCCCTCGCAAGTCGATCGGTGATGAAAATACAACTCGGCTTCCTCTCTGACGAAAGGTGTACTGAGCACCGTTTTGCGTCTCACCATCATCATTATCATCATACACATTAGCTAGAGGTGGGAAACACCTCAGCTACTGTGCCGCACTACATAGAAAAAAGGAGAAAAATGCAACTGGTGCAAGCCGACTGAGCTACCGGTAACGGATGGGCATCGTTCCGGTTAGCTACCAGCCGGCTACTATGCAGCACACAAAAAATTACTATGCAAAATTACATAAGACTAAATAGTGAGATCGTGGTTGGAGGGAGAGACTAAGAGGGATGGGACGGACAAAGCAACTCACAGCACGAACGCCAGTGACGTCGGCTCCTAGCCAAATCAACAAGTGTATCGAGCCAAACTTGTTCACCGTCTTTCGGACCCCTACCAGGGAGCCGTGACGCTCCAACCGAGGTCAGCTCCGAAGTGAGGGCCTTCATTCCTCTGGACCAAGTCATCGCTTGGCCACCCCTCTTCTTCCATCCACACCCCGGCGCGCAAACGACGCACGTCGCGGGAGTCGGTGGGCTGGCATGCTAACACGTGGCTGAGCCATCGGAACCTGGTGCGTGAAATAACGGTGCTGAGCGGTTCATTTCCTTTTCCTGTGCCGTAAACACGGTGTCGAACACGCTTGTTGCTAACTAGGTGTTCCCACCAGATGTGAGTTAAATTGCGATGGCACCGTTGGTCGGACGTAATTAGCCTCTTTATGTCCACTGATCTAAATAAGCTTGCGTCTCACCAGATCTTCAAATATCATCATGCATGTAAACTACCAACCTTGGTGTTACATTGGAGCGAATTCAGAAGCACGAGCATTAGGCGATCGACACCATATAACTGGATCACGTGGACACGAAAATAGACCAAGGATTGAGTGCATTTAAGCTACGTATCACGCACGTGGATGCTGCGCAGACCTACGCGCACACAGCATGCACGACGATGGTCGGCGAAAAACGCATCACATACTTTTTGGTATGACGTTTCTGTTCTAGCGAATTGCGATGACGCCTGTTAAAATGAGCACAGCGAATCTGGTTTGTTACGAGGAAGATGTTACGTCTGCCTTGTCGACTCTAGATGGTGTTTCTGTGACATTTCGTCATCTCAACTCCTGCAGCTCAACTATGCACATTTAACCCTTGGGTCAGACAACACTTGCGAACCTCAATGGTCTAGTAGCATGGCGTCCACCTTCAATCACCGCGTCCAATGTTCCGCTCTCAGCTCAGTCTATCCCTACCTGACAAGTCCAAATCAGGACGAAGCTGATCGATCGTGGAGCGCAGTATTGGCATATCGTTACCCCCAAACCTCAAATGCCATCCTAGCGATCGTAATTGCTTACGTTTACTTTGAACTAAGCCTTGGTGCCAAATAAGATTGCGTTCCACAGTATTCAGTACTGAATATTTTTGTCTCTATGTTTGCTACGCAGATCAAATCCATGGGCTTGTATTGTTAGAATTGTGGTACCATTCCTGTGATTGTCTCCACAGGCACACATACCTTCATTGATTGGTTGCAGTAGCGTCCTTCAGTTCTGAACTTTATGCTGGGGCCGTATACCCATCCCTATATAGTACACCACCCGCGTGCTAGTGGACGAGTCAGCTAGGTTTTGCATTGCTCTTTCTAATTGTCTCTTCGATTCCATCGGATTTAACTGAATCCCATAACTCTTCATACGGTTTTGCGTGGTCCAATATAGATAGGATTATTTTCGACATCGTGTAACGATCTGCGGGATTTACAACTGAGTATGGCTTCTGTCCTATACCCTTTAAATATCATACTCTATCGTCACTTTTGAAACTGCACTTCACCTTTAAAGTGTGGTCGACGGTAATTCGCACTCGAATCGATCTGATGCTTAAAGTGGTGACTTTTCAACTACCTCGCCTTCTTCCTTTGTCTTCATTTACGCAGTGTTTTGCTTGTCTTTTGATTTCAACATCCCTTATCGTCCCATCTGCTGTGTTAACCTACTCCATTTTCCTTCTCTGTAGGCCATGTTTCGTTTGCCCGGATCGCTTCCACGCTCAAAGATTTGGAAGCTAAGAGAACGATGTGAAGTTCAGCTGTACGCCAATCGATAAACACGCGCCATTTACCTAACCCTTTTCAAACCTCATGATGCACTTTCACCGGCACCCAAACTCTTTCCACGCGGACGGCATAATGGTTCTTCTCTCCTTGTGCACATCTTGCGGTCTTTCTTGTCCCCCAATGGTGGCGGTGGTCTTCATATGTTTTGTTTTAACTTTCTTTGATACACTTGTATTGATTTATTCTACTAAAGTACTCATATACTTCTGGTTACAAGTTGATCACTCTCTAGTTCTTCTTTTGGTTTCGGTAGACGGATTCATTGTGACCTGGTGTTTTGGGAGAAGGGATCTGCATAATGGAATTGATGACTTGACCTTGCGTACACACGGTTAAACGAACAATTTCCTGCAACCAACTGCCATGTCTACCGCATGAAAGCTTTAACTTTCTCCTTCCAACAATTGTCCCACTCGATTTCGTTCTCACTATCCATCGGGTTCTCTACTTCCGGTTCTTCAATGTCGCCACCTTTCCTTTGTTTCATGATAAATCCTGTTTGATAGTGTTGATCACCAATTTGACTTCTCGGATTCCCACGCTTCCAATTCAGTTCCGTTTTCTGGTTGCCTGGCCACTTGACATTTCCTTAAATTTACGCTAGTGGTTGATCCTTTCATTTTGTCTGGAGCGGTTGTTCTATGCATTTAATGTTTCTCGATCTGCTGCACTCATGCCCGTATCCGGTTTCCCGACATCTTTTCGAGAGCTCTTTTTTTACCCTGTGATATTGGCATCTGTCACATCATTACAGTTTATATGTCTCCAACCGACTTCAAGCCGCCTCGACCTAGTCATGAGCAAGCTAGTTTCGTCTCCAGTAGTAATTTTTTCTTTCCTTCTTCTAGTGACGGTACCAGTAATGTGTCAGACCTACTCCACCACACAACCGCGAATGGCTGCACATGGATTTGGGCACTGTAAGGGCACCCCTGAGGCATTAGATACCGATGCAACTGTTGACATGGAGTAGGTGCTCTGATTCTGAATAACTGCATGTGTTTTTATTTTACTCCTCATTGTCCTCTTTTCCTCTACAATACAAAGTACTGTTGTTGGTGATGCTACTGACGATGATCGTTTGAAGCATTGTGTGTTCAAATTCCATCCGATCTTTCATCTCGCGAGGAAATCCGATCTCACGTTTTGCGTTGATTTCGATGATCCAACCTTCCTGGCCCAGTGTATGCTGTCGCCTATGTATCCGGCTTCGTATTCCAATGCTTCTTGATCCGTATTGCTTCCCGCCACTCTCCAACATGTCTCTTCCTTCCAGATTAATCGTTTTTATATCCTGTCTGGTGCAGTTCTCTCGCATTTAATTCATATTCCACTTGTCGTACAGCCATCCGTTAATCAAGAAAACTGAGCCGCGTTCATGAAGTCGTTTATCAAGATTACGCATGGGCATTTACAGAGCATATACACTATTTGTGAAAATCCGCTCCACTGACTCAATCATTTTATGTTCAATATGTCTCTGTCTCCATTTCCATTAGTTCAAGGTTGTTCGCAACCTTCATTCTGTCTGAAATTACCTTGGGCCACGTTGCTGCATTTCTGGGTAGATTGTACGATTGGCTCGGTTAGGTACCCGTCCATCTGATCGCGCGCATCTTCCCTTGGCCTGACGTCACAGCAAACCTTGACTGAAGTGCGTACAGTCTATTCGTGGGTTGGCAAACCAGTCCGCTTCTCAGGGGTACACGCTTTTTCACCAGCCCGAATTGGTCCTGTGCATTTGGGACCTGCTGGCGCCTAACTGGTCACCTGCACAGTCAGCGGATGTTTGCTCAGAATTGGCTGACTGTACTTGTAAATCTCGATATGGGCGTGCGCAGATCACTCTTTGCTCGGCTGACAAATCCGCTTCCGATGACGCGCTCACTTTCCTTTGGGCTAATTTGCGTCTGTTCGGTACTCCGCGAAATGTTGTGTGGCATTCAATTGGCCTTCTGCTTACCGGTATCATAGCGTTTCCACCGAGCATTGCGTTCAGCCACCATCACACCACTGACACCTTCAATTTGATTCGAGTTGGTTCATCACAATTAGATTCCAAGCCGCATAGGTAAGCTACCGATCAGGAAGAGCACCAGATGCGCATTTCGCCCTATTGGGGCTCGTCAGTGGTGCGCATCCATCGGTCCCCTACTGGGGATCGAACCCATGATCGCTAGAGGCTAACACCAACTAGCCAGCAGTTTATACCACTGAGCCATTGGGAACGACAGCCAACCATTACGAATTGAAACCTAACTGCGATATAGTCCGACCAATCCTCCACTGCCGTGCAGGTTATTATCCATGCAGAGAGCAGTGGTTGGCTTTCACGGTCAGGTCTTCCCTTGCCAGCGCCGTGAATCCACACAGCAACTTTGAATACTGACAGGGCTTGGGTTTTTGATTAGTAATGAGTAGACGGATTTGGGTATGATTCGAGTTGCTACATCGCATTTAGATTTCAAACCGCATAGGTAAGCTTTCTCCTTAATTTATCGTTTCTCTTTCTGTAATACCATGATCAAGTCAGCATCTATAAGGACATGACGTTAATTAACAGAGCATTAACACTACATGAATACTGTGTGCCTATGCTACGATGCCGTGCAAACTCTGGCTGAGTTATTCTTGGGTCGCCCGTAACTTACGCAAGTACAGGATCTCGAACCAGGAACGCGGAGGTTTCCATTCAAGTCGTAGCACATCTCTCGCATTGTACTCTAAATGTGAATTGTTCTCTATTATCCATTTAGACTTAAGAATTCGCTGTATCCCAGATTGTCTGAAATCAGTTTGTTGTCACTGGCCGAAAGTCAGGTAGTCCAACTCTATTTTGTGTGCTCGCTACGGCGCCATTTGTGCAGTGGACGTTGGTTTGTTTGCGCCTTGTGGCCACGAGTTAGCGCACAATTTGGACCCCATTCGTTACCATACCTTCCTGTTGCCTTCTGATCGCATCGTGCATCCTCTATAGTTATGAGATTATCGTATCATTTATGCGTAAATGCATTGACTTTACATGCACACACACACACACCTATCATCACGTTAGATGAGGATGTAAAACACACTTTATCTAATGTGTTGCAACACGCGCACCTATCGGCTATGGAAGACTGACAAATGAAACTGATTGTGGCCAGGTGCAGTCTTCTCCACTGGAATAAACCAAAAGAGCAGTTCCATTTTCGAAGCGCATTGTGGCCAACAACTAGCTTGTATGCAGCTGGCACGCATGCTTCATTTTAACTACCACGCGTGATCAATTGACTATCAGGCACTGTTTCCATGGGAATCGAACGATCCTAAAGCCCGCGTCTGTTTCCGCAGTCACCTGTACCCATAACCCACGATCGTGGGTCGCACCCACATTGTTTCAGCGAAACCACAGCCGGTGGGCGCCAGGTGGTATTGCAGAAATCAGCTGCTATCCACCTGTATCCGCATGTGTCTCTAGTTATTGCATCCGCGACGATTCGCTACACAGTGAGCAGCTGCAGTCTGTACCTTTTCCTAACTGTGATTCAAATACCGAAGTGCAATAGATCGCTCTATCATGGTTTATGCTACCGGTTACGGGTCTGATTAGGGAATTCTAGAATGAAACTACAAAGTTGTACAAAATATTTCGGTTAAGTAAAATAATGTGCAATCATATAGTATATTTCCAGGAGTGGCTTGTAGTTAATGTTAAGGAAATGAATGCACTAGATGGTTCAATCGTGTGAGCCAGGTCTTTCTACGACTGCTCTGATCGATCCCACAAACTCACACGAGAACGAAACAAAACTGGTGATTTCTGCGCAGCTTTGCTTTACGCATCGATTTTGACGACAACTTGTAGTTTCGATAAAGGGGCTGAGCGCAGTGCCATCTGGTTACGATCCAATCAGGTGCCGTCAATTTGTCAGCACTGCGGTTTTCCAGAAAAGCGGCGCGTATTGGTCCGGACAACAGCATTTGCGCGCCAACAAGCTCAAACTCATAATAGAGGGTACGATATCCTGTGATCAACCCGGTGGACATAACCAGCTAACTTTTGCCCTCGCGACCTAACTAGAACTGCAGATACGGAACTTACAACTCAGAATTGACGCGATCTATCCTGAACGGAGCTAAACATCGCCTACGGCAGAGTCGATGCGGGGGTATCTCGATGACTGCGAACAAGCTGTATTTGCGGATCAATGAACTCAAGCAGACGACACGAAATGAACAGCGAGAGCTAGCCAATGTTTTTAACAATCGTCCATCCCCACCTTGCATCTCTTCGCGTGCTTCTGTTTCCTATTCTTTTGTAAGCACTCGTATGTATAACCTAGATGCCAACAAATTTACACAGTGCATCAACGATTAATGCTATTTTGCATATCGTTCACTTTTTCATTTGCTTTTCCATTGCACTTCTGTCTGACTGTCTGTTCGGCTGTCTGTTGCTAGTCTTTCCAAGATTTTCAGAAACATGTTGGCGGGCATTTAAGGAAGCTTGTAATAACTCAGGGGTTCCGATTTGTACTCCCATGAGGCACACCATTCCCTTAAACGGAGTATTGACAGAAAATAACTCGACCCAAGGAGATCCGACTCCTCAGTATATAGCGAACGAACGGAACATGGACGACAGGTGACTGCGAATGACTACGCAGACAATCGGTTCGGGGACAAATCAATTTAACTAACGAAAACACAATTTGCGCCAACGAAACGACACTTACTTAAGATAAAAATTTATATCATCTTTCGTGCCTACCGACATTTTCGCATTGGCACTGCAAGTTGCTATTTCAACCGGAAACAGCTTGTGATCCTGAATAGTTATCACAACCACATCTCATGTCTTGGAACTCAGGATCTACTCACTTTGTCAAGACTAACCTTTGATCAAATTGTAATCGTCGCATATTGGCTTGTACATAGCTGCTCATGCCTTCTTTGGTGTGCGTCGTGTAACATCGTGAATAAACCTTTTTTATTTATTAAAATTTATATACGGCATAACTTATCCAGATACCTGCATAATAGGGGTTTGATCACTGCTCGGACTTCGTTTTGGCTCTCTGAGTGTTATATGACGTTCTTATTTTCTACAACGGTTTCACTAATGAAATGCGTACTAACCTTATCACAAAAGTACAACAGCAAAAATTGCTTCGCTCAAGGCGACAATAGCACACCTTGCACCTCATCCGTTTCCCCAATTGCTGCCTTGAAACCAAGGAAAAGGGTCAGGCGTCCACACGGCCACACAGTACTAGAAACTTTGGGAGCCACGTACCAGGTCGGCGATAGAAGCATGCCTCGCCCCGCCGCCCACATCCTCTTATCCAATGAATCGACTGATGCAACATTGGTAGAAC